AGCTTCTACCTAGTCGACTTCTGTGTATGCTCTAGAAAATAATTAAAAATTTGTCGTCTCACGAACCGCTTTGATCAATATCTCGGAGGGCAAGACTGATCACCTTTACGCGGTGCCTTCTAAAACCTAGAAGTGAAATATTCTCCCAGAGCCAACTTCAGTCAAATTTCGCAATACCAATGAAGTTGGCCCACGAGGCAATGATTTAATATACTCCACCACGTCAATTTTTCACTCCCAACGGATTCGAATCTTATCCAAGCCTCATCAAGTCTACAAGTAAGACCTAATACATCCTCATTCCAATGATAACACCTCTCGTCGACTTTCTCTGGCTTCAGATCTTCACCAAATACACGCCCACGCCGATATTTATACCCGACGGGGGAAGCAAAGCGTGGAGCACAAATGTGGGATGGACGTGAGAGAGATAAGAACAAGCTTACAAGATTATGCAAAGGAAGGACTTAACATCGACGGGCGTGGAATTCCGAATTTTGGCAAGGAGTTTTACGAATTGGGCTTTGTGCGCGCCAAGGCTTCGCTTGCGAGAGTGCAGCTCACACTATAAAAACAAGTAGACGATGGAAGGTGTAGTGGTCAGCCTCCTGGTAGTGTTTTCCGGTATAGTCTGAGTAGTCTGGGCACCTACTCCACTTGGGAAGGAGACATCTCATATGACATTTCGCGCGGAGAAAAGTTGATGGATGACGGAGGCATGTCTGGATAACTCAGGGTTTTTGAGATGTTCCCCTGGGTGGGTATTCACGGATGAGAGTTGACTTGGTGTGAAAAAAAAGCCACCATAACTTCGCATCGGTACTTGCAAATGAAATCCGAGGCATGAGTACTCCTCTTGTAAATTGAGTCACATTTTCTGTACTTCTCTTTGATATTGTGTCATAGCTAGATAGCTGCAAACGCAATTGAAATCTGATGCAAAAAAAGGAAGTCGTCCGTCCAATGAATCTCATGTTATGCAGTTAGTAATAATTGGAGAAATTATTTTAGAAAAAAATAAATATACGAAATTATTTACACTAAATCGTGATTTCGTTCGAATCAGACTTGTCGTTGGGGCACAAGCTTAAATGTAACCAGGCTCCAGCCATTGATAGTGATTACATTATGCGAGAGTTACTCGATATGCAGATAATATGGCGACGGCCACAGCGATGTATCAAATATCATTAATTTGCTATATTTTCTGCTAAAATTCAATGAGTGCATGAAGAAAATATTGTTATAACAAGTCCGCACTAAACTTGGTTAGTAGGTAGATCCCAGTGCTCCAGGCTATCAGGTTGGGGGTTAGATAAATATATCATTCTTGGACTGCATTTGAGTCCTTGTGTAAAGCTGCAAGTATACTTTAAACACTAGACTAACTATTAAATTTTGCGCTACGAACCCAAAACATCTGATAAGTCTCTTGGTTGCATTACCAGGAGTCTCGCGATGTTGTGAATAGTAGTATCACGCCTGCCGTTGAAGTATGTCGTGCAGTGAGAGTAGTAATACCAATGTTGTGTTGCTCTCGTTCAGGGAAAACACAGGCTTTCGACGTCACAGCCTAATGGATAAGACTAGAGGGCGTAAGCAGTGCATAAATTAATTATCTCATCAGGAATACCTTCAGCTATGTTCTACAAAGTCCAGCTTTCTTCATACATCAATCTCTAAGAATCACGTATATCCGTAATCAAGTTGGGACATTCTGATTTATCAATCAAGAGATCACTAAATAAATATCACTAGCTCTCATCTCGTACGTTTGAGCCCCATTTAACCCCTACGAGTTATAGGTCTTGGCCCTTGATAATAAAAACCTGTGCCGAAGAAATATTACGATCAACGTTTCGCAAATGATCCATCAACGTAAATGGCTGCTTCGGCTGCGTAATGATATTTCGGGTTGCTACCTAGCATACTTATTATCTGGGTCATCGGCTGCCTTCTCCATCGCTGTGCGGTAGGGTGGATCGTAGGGATGAAGACCTGGCATATCATCCTATGTAAAGCCTAATGAAGAAATTGATAAGCGGAAGACACTAGAAAGCACTGGCATCTGAATATGGAAGATAATAACTGCCAAATGAATGGCGAAGATTACGTCAAGGTGCATGAACAGCTAGATTCGCTTCGATACAATAAAGCCAGCAGTTGCGTTGCAATGAAGACACACGGGACTGCAACATTCATCATCTGGACGAAATTAATAACCCAATCTATCAAAGCTATGTCGTGGAATCATGCATTTCGTTCGATGGATGCAGGTAACGGCCCAACTGTACTAACAACCTCGACACCAGCTCAAGTACAGTAAAACTTGTTCAGTATCGTGCTTCTATTGCTTGGCAAACATGGGAGCCGTTATCCAAACACATACATCTGAAGACTAGAATCCTACCAATTTAGTTTCCGGTAATTAAATGTACGATGAGCAAAGAACACGGGGAATCCAGACCCTTGTTGAAATCTTAGGTTCTGGACAAATTTTGGTATCACACAGCCCAGATGAGCGAGCTTGTCTCTTTGAAACGCCGCTCAGATATTGACATCCAAAGCCTCGGGGCTGAACGAGATAGTATTAGGCAATCTCACATCTCCATTTCGGCCGGCCCCCCCGTCCTGACCAAAATTAACCGGCCAGATTTACGTAGCTTCAAAATTCTGCTGTAATAGCTGGTCAACTAAACATGGATAAAGTGGGGGAATAGGTTCAGACGAACACAAATAATTATAGGATAATTGATGTTTCGTCCGGCGCGATAGGGGAAGAGGCGTCCGGAACCATCCTTACGTGTGTACATCGCATAGAAAGGGGCCAAAAGCTCATGAATAATAATTCAAACCGCAAGAGGAAGCGATGAGCACCCGCCAAGCCCAAATTCCCGATTAGTCATCGGAAAACTGGGGCCAAGCCTGTGCGTGCCGCCTACCCTGTTGAATAGCATGAGTTGTTCTATTCCATAGTGACGGCTGCTCCGTCTCCAGGTACTCAGCAAAAGTTATCAGTCACAACCTCCCCCCTTCGCCTAGGACTTGACTGACACTGCGCGGCGCTCGAGCCAAAACGTACACGGTGAGCGCGGTCGACCAAGGGAATTATCGCGGGATCTAGATTGGATGGCCATGGATACGACGGCAGGGAGCGACGTCCACACATCGTCACCTATGAGTGAAGGCATTGATGATGTGTTTGGTTCGGTACCTGGATCGCCAATAGAACAAGCATTTCAGCAGACGGCGTCCGGGTTCACGGGTAATACAGAATTTTCGGACATTCCACGCCTGCAGCAGACGCACGAGACGGCCGGCTATCGGGATGGAATTACACAGGGGAAGCGATCTTGTGTGCAGAGGGGTTTCGATGAGGGCTTCGGCCTCGGTGCGAAGCTGGGCTTACGCGTGGGGAGAATTCATGGCCTACTTCAGGGAATCGAAGAAAGTCTTGTTACACCAGAAGCGACGCGCGTTGGACGCCTCAGGCTAGCTGCGGAGGAAGAATTAGCAATGTCAAAGATTTACGACCAGATGTGGTGGGATTCCAACGGATCATGGACATATGCGGTGGTAGGTGCCGTGTGCGATGAAGATAATAGCGTGATAACCTACGATGATGTGGCCCGGGCACATCCATTACTGAAGAAATGGGATGATATCGTCGCAGAGGAAATCAACCGGTGGCACCTCGACCTGTTTGTGCTAAATAAGGATCCCGCCGTTGCGGGACTCCCCAACTCAACGGCGGATAAGAATAGTCTTGCTGCTCAAGGAGACAATATAATGGCATTGAACGTACATCCGAGTGGGAAAAAGGTCACAGGAGCTTTACCTGGGGATCTGGCGTTCATCAAAGACGATCTGAACTGGTAAGCGTGGACAGATGAGCCGCCGCTCTCCTGATCGACATAGAAATTGATTTCTAGGGGGGGCCAACTGGGATTAGACGAGCGCGGATGTTTTTCTTCTTTCAAACTTACTCATGGATAGCTCGAGTTACCCGGGTTAATCCTACCAGGGGAGGGAAACGAGACTCGTGGAACTTAACAGGCCAGACCATCAGCAAGTGCACTATCAATAGTAGATGCAGGAAAAATTGGATAGACCAAGCAGTAGTGCAAAGCTACCAGGATATTCACACGCGCCCCAGGCCACTCAAATTCCCGAAGCTCAATTATGATTTTCGGAGCGATCAAGGGGGCAGAAGAAGCTGCACCCCGACAACCGCAAGTCATTCTTCGACCTCTCTGTTTCCTAGTCCGTACATGAACCCCACAAGATGTGCACCTCATGATTTTAAGAGTGCGGTGGACATGAGTGTGTGATGAGTCAGTGGAGTGGAGAACAGCGTTTCTATCTGTTAGTTCAATGATATCGACCATATTTTCGTTTATGCCAGTGTATATCATCTCACCTTTTCTCCTATTCCATTCCTTGGACTCTCAGATCTCGGTAACTCAATGAGTAATATACTGCTTTTACTGCTACTACGGCTTTACTTGGACTGGGTGGGTGATTAGATTAACCTGGCACTGTGCGGATGATCTTCAGCGCGAGCTAAACTTTGTTTTTCATCATGCAAGCCTAAGAACCTTCGAGGGTCAGCTTTAAACATGCTGTCAACCTCGATAACCCTACCCTCCATCATCTAATCTTAACACATATCGTACATAATCTCTTTTCCCTCACTTATAACAGATAATAATCCCATTTTCATTCGATCGCCAATCAGTCCATTCGTTCGCTGAGCCAAGCAACACATTCTTTCACCTAATAAACCTCAATCGTTTCTTCCATAGATTTTCTCTTTAATATAATTTGGTCGCCCACCTCGGCTGTACTATCAACAACAATCCGATCCCTCACTCTGGTGAGCCTGCGCATTATAAGAATATTGTTTCATCAGATAAAGTGACCCATTAAATCGTCGCCTTTCAGTTTCAACGTTTTGTCAAAAGGAAACGTAAAGGTCAGACTGGTATATAACCGACAATATGAAGCGATACATTCTACTAGTTTGTGCAGCGCCGTCTATTGCAAATATTATATTCTCCTACGCGCCACTGAAGTGTGACTTAAACGATGATTCCCGAATGTACAATGGCTGCCTAAGGGGACAATCTTGCACCACAGATGGAGAGTACGTTCCAACTCAACTCCAAGACCTAAACAAACAGATGGTTAATTTCCACAGATGTGTGACATCACCAGAGCTAGTCGATTCTCTTTCCTTCCGAAATAAAAATCCTACAGTTCCGCGGTCTGTTTCCCGAATAGACGGCAGATGTGGAAAGGTCAGTGAAGACGCTATTGAATGGTTCCAGAATTGACATGAAATAGGACTTTGAGAACTCACAATGCGACGCACTAGGTCCATATGGAGGTTGTTGTTCAAAAGACGGGTAAGCAATCACCACTCCAACAGAGAAGAAATTAGTGGGCAACTTTATACACAAGCGTGTTTTAGTATCAACAACCAAAGATAACACTAATGACTGATTTAATGAGATCACCCTAAACATAAGCAGGAAAATACCATCAGATTCAGATGACTAACTATCGCAGGCATTGCGGAACTACCCAAAACCATTGCTCTGTTGATGATGGTTGCCAACACGGCTGCTCCAATTCATTTCGCTTTGGGTTGCGTGACCTCTCCACAACTACAGCTCACTTGGAACCCGTAATTAAGGGTCCCACTACTATCATGGCTGCCGGTGGAATGGACACCAAAGATGGTTCATGCGGTGCTAAAAACAACAACACTGTATGTGGCAATTGGGTTAATGGTAACTGCTGTTCCATGTATGGATTTTGGTAAGTTCAACTTCTCTTCATAATGGTCCTTTTTCTAAATTTATACAGTGGAAACACAACAGGACACTGTGGCGAGGGATGTCAATCTGGAAACTGTAAAGCTACACCTGCAGTAGCTGCACCAGGTCCCAACCCAGTGAAACCGGCTGCTAATCCGGGCTCTTTCAAAACTATCGGTCAGGCTGGAGTAGGGGCTATGCACGCTGGACTAATGCCTAACGGAAAAGTATTCTTCCTTGACAAGTTGGAGAACTATTCTCAAATTAAGCTCCCTGACGGGCACTACGCCATGTCATCAGAGTACGACGTTAACAATAATCAGCCAGTACCCCTCTCATACTCAACCAACGCATTCTGCTCTGGAGGGGCATTTTTAGCAGACGGTCGTGTGGTCTCTGTTGGTGGTAATGCTCCCTTAGACTTCCTCAACCCCAACATTGGTGATGGCTTCAAAGCCATACGAACATTATCGCGGTCAGCCACCGACAACAGTAAAGATGGACAGCCCTGGGAAGAACCAGCGAACAGGAAACTTTCAACTGCGAGATGGTATGCTACCGCTCAGACCATGCCCGACGGAAGCGTATTTGTGGCATCTGGTAGCTTGAACGGTCTAGATCCCTCCAAGCCTCAGAACAATAATCCAACCTATGAAATGTTGAGCAGGGACGGTTCTCCTCAAGGACAGAGCATCAACTTGGATATTCTCGCCAAAAACCAGCCTTATTACATGTACCCTTTTGTTAATCTGCTGCCGGATGGAAATCTTTTCATATTCGTGGCAAAACAAGCCCAGGTATTCAACGTTGGACAAAACGCTATAGTCAAGCAACTTCCAGACTTAGCGGGAGACTTTAGAACCTATCCCAACACTGGAGGTAGTGTTATGATGCCTCTCTCCAGTTCTAACAACTGGAAGGCCGAAATCGTCATTTGCGGCGGAGGGGCCTTTCAAGATATCGATAGTCCGACTGACGCCAGTTGCGGTAAGATCGCACCTTTAGACCCGAACGCCACCTGGGAAATGGATGCTATGCCTGAAGGACGCGGCATGGTGGAAGGAACTCTGCTTCCAGACGGGACTTCAGTGTGGCTCAATGGTGGCAATAAAGGCGCTCAAGGATTTGGACTGATGGCTAGCCCGACACTCGAAGCCCTACTATACGATCCATCCAAACCAACAGGGCAACGTTTCAGCACTCTAGCATCCTCTGGTATACCCAGACTTTACCACTCGTGCGCCCTATTGTTGCTTGATGGTACAGTTATGGTCGTTGGATCCAATCCAGTCGAGATGCCCAAGCTCCAACCAGACGCTAAGGATCCTTATGTCACTGAATATCGAGTGGAACAGTATACCCCTCCATATTTGCAAGGAGATAATGCGAATAGGCGACCAACGAATATGGCGCTGTCAACAACCGACATTCAGTCAAACGGAGGGGAATTTCAAATCAAGTTTGATGTTCCCCAAGGTGCTAAAGAACTAAAGGTTGCACTGTATCACGGTGGATATGTGACTCACTCTATTCACATGGGGCATCGCATGCTGTTCTTGGACCACACCGGCTTCCAAGCCGGAAATACCCAACAAACGGTTAACGTCCGCGGTCCCCCTAACTCCAACCTTGCACCACCGGGTCCCTACGTTGTATACGTGGTTGTCGACGGTATTCCAACTGTCGGTCAATTCGTACAGGTTGCATGACTCGGGTCCTCAATTACATCCTACCATTCGTTAGCACGTTCACAAGCTAATCACAATTCAGCACTATATAGAACACCGCTTACACATTTCTTGTACATTATTTTGATATTAGCCGTTGCCAGTATTTTGGATTAGTTACTTTGTAAAGAAATGGAAGCCTGTCTCCATAATCAGGCCTATGAGATTCCCTTATGTAATACACTAGATAATGTGTGAAATGAAAAATATCGTTTACTATTACCTGACATTTGTGTGAAGGGAGTCATACGGTGCGTGAAACAATATTTCGACGTAACATCCATGACAACGAGAAAAGTTTCCAACACGACTCGATCTATGCCAACAGTAACCTCTCCCGTTTCCACGTGTTAGTACAAATTCGGTGCTATATTCTCAATTCTGTCTCGTCTGGGTAACTTTTGCGACATCATCGAGGGAGGTAGGCTCACGAACTACTTCTGCAGCGAATATGCTCATTGTTCTTAAACCCTGACCCCTATTCGAAAGTAGAATGACAAATTCTACATTACGTAACTTTTTACATTACGTAAATTTGTACTTAGAGACATGATCTATAACGTGATATGCCTTTTGGTGCCATTTGTCTTATGCGCTCGATTGTAAAGTCATGGCTAATCACATGACTATAGTCATGATCCGTGCACAGGTACGAAGTAAGCTTTTATCGTAATCTAGTACTTCAATATCCACTCTGCGAGTCGGCCACTTCCGAAACACCCCGGTCCATATTCTCAAGTTTAACCAGAGGTGGCCGATGGGAAATGGGAGAGATTCCGCCAATAAAATCACACGATTGCTTACCAGGCAACGTCACTTGAGTGTTTTGATCACTGCGCACAACTCCTCTGCCGCCTTTATCCAAGATGGCAAAGGCATGTTAGGGTGGCCAAAGCTTATTCTAAGTCCTTCATAGTCATAGACTCAGTAGGGACTTAAATTTGATTCTTTTCTATTTTCCCCCTGGTGGATATCAATGATTGAGAGAAGGCTCAGAGCCCCTAGCACAAAGGTCTCGAGTGGCACAGGCGAATGCACCCACTACATGAGTGGTCCATTTTCAAACTGAGTTTGCATCGTATATAGTCGTCGGAGAATGATAAGTTCTCTCCAGGTCAAGCTCTTTGAGTGCTAGGTTTGTGCCTGTCATGAAGGAAAATCTATGCATCCTCTCCACCGTCACTTCTAGCCATCCAAAGTCCATGCAGCTGTCCGCCGCGATAAATAGTCCATGTGTCATTCGACCCAAAATCACGCGTGCTCGGTCTCTGATTCGCCAGTTATGCTGTGGATCACTCGGATCTAGGCAATCCGCGGCCGTCTCGTGGAGGTCCAAGGATCGCATAGTTCCAGCGCCGTCGGGTATGCGAGCAGGGCTTTGTGCTTCCGTGCGCGAACACCGGGCGAAACATCGCAGTGTCCTGCTCGTTGGGAACCAGGTCGCTGGAGTGTGGCACGCATCGTGGCACCGTGACATGATAGCTGCGGACTAGACCCGTCTGTCTTTATCGAAAATGTAGATATTCTTTCCATTAGGCTACGTCATGCTGCTGGTGGCGAGCCAAGCAGGTTTGTTCGAGGCCCGCCTGCTGCTCTCACCCTGATCAGCATCTTGACACGATTAACCCTGTATAATATACATACGTGGACGTAGCTAGATTATAATACTTTATAACTCTGTTCAAGTCTGGTCAAGTGGGTATGCACTTGTTGTTTAAAAAAATTCATGAGCACGCACCTATTTCATGCACAACGACGACGGTAACCCTCAGCCTCATGGAATAATAACTGGAACCTGGAACTTTGGCATGAGGGTAGAAAAACTAAGGGACTTGGCAAGTACTTTAAGATCCAGGCCCAAACCAATTGGCCCAGTTTTGTTATGCTCAGCTATATAGTATGGTAGATCTAGTAGCTGGTGCATAGGTAGTTATTATGGCAGTATGGCATTATGGCGCATGAAAGATATCCACTCTCTACAGAACGGCATTACATGTAGTACTGTGTGCAGTTTGAGAGATGGGTTGTTGGTATAGGACAAACGGCATGGCTGCTCATTTGGTTGTACACTTTGGTGAGCTGCATACTGGTAACGTGATCGGTCTACAAGCGAAGAAGCTAGGGGATAAGGGACGAGCTTCCCCCAATCTGTAACATAACAATTATCATGGTAACTTCACTTCTGCACATTAGTGAAGACATCTCTCCACATACTATCTTAGCTGTTCCAGCGCAAGTGTACATTCCCAAATCATATACCAATCAAAATAATTATATCTTTCAAACCTTTCAAATTTAAGGCACATAGCAGGGAGACAGATTCAGGATTCTTCCAGGCAAGGTTTGGAATCGGAAATACACGGATCTATCTGCATATGATAAGAATTGTTGAAGATAATGTCGGAACACTCGAGTGGTATTTATATCACAAGCTTTCTGTAGCAGTAATAACAATTGGTGGTTAACATATATCTTCTATTTCTTGACTTCTAACCAAAGGAAACACGTATATCCAGCAGTTGTCCCTCTCTCCTGACGCCATTCCTAAACAGGTAACTCATTAATCATTATTTCTAAGATAATGCATAAAAGGTCATTAAATCACTAGGTCATTCGACAGATAATATATGCAATTTTTGTAGGAAAGAAAGGCAGGATGTGCAGCACCTCTTGTTATATTGTCCCAAGTTTAGAGAAAAAGGAACAGATGTTTTCAGGGCAAAGAGTCAAGAACACTTCCAATACTAGATCGAGCAAAGATAGGAAAGGAAGCTCTTCTTCAACATTTGGACACATCCAAGTGCATGTTAGCACACAAAGGATATAAAAATAGGAACACCAATTGGAAATTAATAACTAGTTGGGTAAATTTTTTTTAAGGAAGGAGTTTTGGGGATATAAATCATGTAAATATTGCGTCATGGCTAGATCGCTGAATACACTATGAATAAAAAAATTAAAAAAACTCCTAGCCTGAATTTCTTGCCCTTCAACTTTGACTCTGCGTCACTATCCATGTGCTACTCTGAAAAATCTGTTCCCTTGTTTGTCCGTTTTTTCATGGCTCAGTATCTCGCCTGCACTTCTTTGCGGGCTTGACCAACAACTCATTGCCGGCCGCGCGGGAGACGTGACCTTCGCAATATTTTGATTCTCCGTCATTTCTAAGCCTGTTTATCGCAGCTACAAATCTTTCTAATCTCGGGAAGCTTTTTGTATTTTCCCTCTCGCCGCTGGCGAATTTCTGTGGTATGGAGTATGATAGGGTCGGTCTCTAGGGTATTTTGTTTTTGTTTCTATTTTTTGTAGATTTGAGGATGCCGGATTCACAGATACCTAGATTCGTACGAGGCTCTGATAAATTGTAATGCTTATGTAATGATGCTCACATCGGACTTCGGGCACAACAGGCTAAATACTGTACTTCGAAAGACGATACCCTATGTTAATAGTAAATCAAGTTTCATCTTGTCTTAAGCTCTACTAGACATATCAGTAGTTTGGAGTTGCGAGACACCCATAACCCACACCACCACAAAGCTAAATTTATCTTACTTTTCACATATTCTGATCCACCAGGAACCTCAGAATGACAGCCTCCACACTCATGAAGCAGCTTGAGAACGGGTAGGGCCAGGATGGATCTAATTAACCAGCGTAAAGACTTTGATTTTCGTCCCATATCAATCACTAAAAAACCTCAGACCTCACCCATTCGTTGAACACGTCAAGTCCGACTATACAGAGAACCCGACTTTGACTCACCGAAGCTTAAATACCATACCTCATTCGGGTTGATCTCTTCAATGAAGACCTCATCTAATCGACCACTTGGGCTTTGTTTGTATTATCAAAAGATTATTTCCCAAACCTAACTGCGACTTTTTCTATCTATCAATCTTTTAATATTAGATTTCTTGAAAACTATCCGTCTTTTTGGCCTGCCACATCGCTGCCGTATCCCAAACCATGGAGGCCAAATATGAGTATAAAAGTTTAAAGACAAGGCTCTGACGCCCCAGATCTTATCTGAATCCCCCAATATCACCCACCAACGGATCAATTTCATTGACTCTATCTTGGCCTACGCTAATGATTGTCGTCATAACCAAAGTCATTCTCCCACACCTCTATCCATCAAAGCAGATGTGATGCGTCTTATCTCCAGAGTATCGGCAGTACCTCCGGCAAATTCAGTCTTCACACCTCAGAGGCGAAAGATCTCGAGAAATAAAAGTACCATAAAGCTCATCGATGACCTCTTCACGCTGTCTTTCCACATCCTAGTATCGCGCTATTTCTCGGGTTGCAGAGCCCCATTCAAGCAATGTTACCCCATTAGCTAATCCTGGCTTGTATATCTCATAACTTAATTTCCTCCTCGCGTGCTTACGTAGCATTGTAATTTGATAGTGAGAGATAGCCGGTGATTTATGAGACAAGCTCCCATTTGCAATTGGAGTTGTTCCATGATCAGTGACTGAGGTAGGGTAGTTTGTAGTAAATTCGAGTTGGAGACTCTCGTGTGAATTTTAGGGCCAACACTGGAGAGAATTCGAATTATATATGCATATAATTGTTTGCTTTCGAACTCGGTTCGGATACGATTCTCGTTGACCATCTCAGATATGATGAGCAAACTGAACTTTCATACCAGCAACGCTAAGAGGCGAAGAAATTGACATTTCCGGCAGCGTAAATTTAATATTGGTGAATCACCACTTGTAATAAAGTCTATTTCATGTTGCCCACGTGGAGGTGCCAAAAATGAAATCTTGCAAGGCAGTAGTTGAGCACCCATCAGTGGCGTCCTCTAACTTTCTGGAGTTAAATATTCTCTGAGCCAAGTTCAGTTAACTTTCACAATACCAAAGAGGTTAGCCAAGAAGGCAATGATTCAAGATGCTCTATCATGTCAATCATTTAATCTTGACGATATACATTTCCACCGAAGCATCAAGTCTACAAGATCTGGTACATCC